GGGGGGGAGGCGACCCCCCCAATGCCAATCAATCAATCAATCAATCAATCAATCAATCAATCAAAAAAAGAAAAGAAAAAAAACGCGCGTTTGTGTGTGTGTGTGTGTGTGTGTACGTGTATGTGTGTGTGTTTGTGTGTGTGTGTGTGTGTGTGTGTGTGTGTGCGTGTGTGTGTGTGTTTGTGTGTGTGTGTGTGTGTGTGTGATCGCGGGGGGGGAGGCGATCCCCCCTTCGCCAATCAATCAATCAATCAACTGCCCATTTCTTTTTTTGCTACCAGATTCTTTTTTTTTCCCCCTCTTTTTTTTGTTTTTTATTTTTAAAAAATCTTTTATAAGGCAAAAAAAATAAATAAATATATGGGGTTGTAGATCTGTTCGAGATCTACAACCGTATTTTTTTATTTATTTTTTTTTGATTTTTTTTTGCCGCTAAAACGCCATCGGACGGCTTTCGTCCGTATGCCCGTACGGCCGTCCGTCCGTCCGTACGGACAGTCCGTACAGAGACCCCCCGTACRACGTATGGGGGACGACACAAAATGATTCAGAATACACCAAAATATCGTCCATGTACATGATAACATTCATTACCCGCTGGAAAGTCGCCGACGCATTGCATATACCCATAGGGCATCGAACCCACTGCCACGTGCCCTCAAACAAGACAAACGCTGTCTTCGGCCCATCCTCTTCCCTCACAAGGATATGGTGGAACCCGTGCCGAATAGCAAATTTACTAAAATAATTTGCACAGCCAATCGCATCCAGCAGATCATCAATCCGAGGGAGGGGGTACACATCCTTGATCGTGATGTCATTCAACTTTCGATAATCAATGCAAATGAGAATCGATCCGTTCTTTTTCGGAACCAAAACTACTGGAAAGGACCAAGGACCTGTAGCGGGCTCTATCCAACCGTTAGCCTCGAATTCCCGGATTCGCTCGAGTGCCGCCTTTCGTTCTGCCAATGAGTATCTATACGGTTTGCAATGAATCGGCGGATGATTGCCGGTCTGAATCTCGTGTTGGATTATTAAGGATAACTCGATATCCGCGTCATCAATGTTGATAGCACCCCGATATTCCTGTACGATCTCTGCAATAAGTTGGTGGGTTCCGTCGGGCACGTATTCTGGCACGTGTTACTCGTAAGGCCGTTCGTGTATGTCGATTGTAACGTGTTTGGTACGTACTGCCTTAGAGTCCTAGGGCGGCGGGGAAGAGATGAAAGAGTTGTCCGACTGCCACGAGAACACGGTGGCTACCATCTGGGCTTCCTCCTCTCAGATGGCCACGTGTTCTTCGGGGGTTATCCTGTCCGCAATATCCCGGGGATCCATCAATTTCTCAGCGATTCTTATCCCAACATCAAACAGCGAGGCTTCGGGGCACCCAGGGGGTTCCTGAGCCTGTACTTCCACTCCTAGACGCAGCAATCGTATCTCCTTGTCTGTGGTAAGAAGCGATCGGGGAGGGGGTTCCGTGACGTCGCAGAAGGATCGCTTATCTACGTATCGGGAAAGCAAGGGAGTAGCGACCTCGTACAGGGTCTGAGGGGGTTCCGAAGAGTCGGGCTGCTCGAGCATCCTTGACACTTGTACCAGTGATTCTCCTATGATCAGAGCTCGAGTTCGCTGGACATTTTCTTCGGTCAGCACGAGCGTTTTCGTCGTTTTCTGCCGGACTGGGTAACGAGTTACCTTTCGCATCAGCTCTTGAATCGTCGGGTATGTCTCGTCCTTGCTTTCCGAATCCTCGGGGAGCGGGGACGCGTGTTCTTCGCTGCTAGTCTCTGAGTCCTCTAGGAGTCCGTCCCAGGTGACTGTCCGAATCGGCCCGCCTACCTCTGGGTGAGATCTAGGTGGCGGGTTGGTCGTCGTGCGAAGGGTGAGGCACATGGGGACTGCGTACGGCTTACCCCCGGTGTTCTTGATAATCACCTCCCGCCGCTCAAAGTCTAGATTAGCCTGTAGGGCATTTAAAACAGGCAGTCCGATGAGTACGTCGTACGAGTTCACATTAAGAACAACCACATCACCCAAGGCGTGGACTTTTCCCAACTTAAAAGCGACGTTTGTCATTTTTCCTACTGCTCTGACCTTCTCTTCATCGGCGGAGATCAAACGGTCTCCTTCGTTGAGTGGGATCATATCCTTCCTTCTTCCTGCCCGTTCTACTACTCGCAGGGATATTGCCAACACTGCTGCCCCGGAATCAAGGATCGCGCTGTATGGGACTCCCCAGATCTCTACATCACACTCCGTGGACTTCCACGGGATAGCTTTGATGCTCAGAAAATGGTCACTTTTTTGGAGAAGTCCCAGGCGCACAGGCTCCGAGGGTCCAGGTGTATCCGGCTTTATCTCCCTTACGGGGGCCTTCCCTTGGCCGTTACCAGCTTGGCGAGTGCGAATCGTTTCTGATTGGCCTTGCAATGCTGGAGCATGCGATCATTGGCCTGTTCTGATATGGACAACAGGTGGCCGATCGGAAGCGGAATGCGGTGGTCAAGAGCTCGGACAATGTCCAAAACATTGATCTTTCCGGTGACGAACTCAGGACCGCCGGATTCCATCTCCCCCGGGGATGGTCGCCATTCAGAAATCTCGTGCTCGTCGTCCGCGGGCCGGATTGCCCTTATCATCCCAAGCCCCGGATATCCCAAGGAAAGGAATCGATCCAGTGGGATGAGCTCTGTGGCTTCCTCGATTACCCCTGTGTTTGATATCGCCAGGTCCGTCTCTTCTACCATAGGTCCTACCCGTCCGGGCCCGTTAGCTAAAGGAGCTGCAGCTGTCGGGGCTGCCCCTATTCTTACTTGTCGCTGGGGGCAATCTCGGGCCATGTGGCCGGGTTGATGGCAGGCATAACACGTATCAGTCCTAGGGGCCGGTCCTCCGCCAGCTCCCGCGGCTGCGGGAGCAGGCGCTTGGGTGACCAAAGGGGCAGCGCAAACGTTAATGGGACGCATGG